TTTGGCGATTCCTCATGAGGTGGATGGGGCAAGGATCTCTCTGGTCTCTTCAAAAGGCATTAATATAATGAATCGAAGAGCATTCTTCTGTCATGTGTAACTGATTAGAACAGTTAAATAAAAATAAAACAGAAAAAAAGGCACTAATCCCATTCACGGGGACTCCTTCCTCATGGCCCGGTCAGTCCCCCAAAGCCCCATGTCCTAACACTATCACTTTGAGGTCTGGGATTTCAACATATTGAAGCCAAGCCCTTGTCCTGGGGCTGCAGACAGCGCCCAGGTGGGCTGGAGTGAAGGTGGCAAGCCAGGGTGTTGGCTGTGCAGAGCCCACATGCCAGCCTGGGCCTGAGGCATGGTGATGGTGAGCCAGGGCAGTGGCAAGCAAGCCAGGGTGTGCCCATCTGTCACCCAGGGCACCCCAGCCTGGGGCCCAGAGTGGACGCCCATTGCAGAAGGCCGCTCCACACAGTGCACAGCTCATACCCCCTGAGCAACCATGATCCAATGACCTCAACCTCCCTGTTCCCACCAGCAGCAGGAAAACAGAGGTGGGGCAGACCTGGATGGGAGTGCAGGGCCAACCAATGGCATTGGTACTTTTCTAAACCCCGATTAGCATAAATCTGAACCGATAGCATTGACCTGAGTGCTACATAAACCCCTAGACTAGCACACTCAAGAGGCAACCCCTCGTGGCTCCCCTCCCCCCCAGCAGGGATTCTGTTTCTATTCACACTTGGATGAATTGTACCATAACACTACTCACCCTCTTCTGTGGTTTCACTCCTTGGGTTTGTAGAACCAGAACCCAGAAAAAAGAAATTGGTGGTGAGTTGTGGGGGTCTGCTGCAGCATTGGAAGGCATAGCCCGCATTAAGAGTTGCAGCACATTTCTTGCTTATAAAACTTACGCAGACCCCACTCACCAGCAGAAATGGAGAAACTCTGGTTTGATATGAATTCTGAGGACCACAAAAATTCACATCATAGCATGCTCTGACTTTGTTCTACATTTTCAAAATTTGTTTGGCTACTCTAGTTTTATTTCTATAGCTATATACAGTTTAGAATCAGTTTGACAATTTGTACCAAAAATAAGCCTGATGGAATTTTGATTGGGAATACATTATATGTACAGGAAAATTGTAGGAGAATTGCCTCTTAATAATATGGAGCTTCTGAATATTTGAAGATACCATATATTTACATTTATTCCATCTTTAATTTCTCAGCGATAATTTGCAGTTTTCAATGGATGGAAGTGGTGCATATTTTGTTAAATTTATCCCTAAGTGTTTCATGGTTTTGGTGTTATTGTAAATAGTATTTTTATTTCAATTTCAACTTAATGATTGCTAATATTTAGCAATACAATTAATTTTGCATGTTGAGTTTCATTCTGGGAATTCACTATAATAATTTTATAGTTCTCATAGCTTTCTTTGTAGCTTCTTGAGATTTTGTATAGCAACAATCATGCTTCCTGGAATAAATACACTTTTACTTCTTCCTTTCTGATTTGTATGCCATTTAGTTCTTTTTCTTACCTTATTGCATTGGCTAAGAACTCTAGTACTAAGCGGAGTAGAAGTGGGAGAGCAGACATACTTGTTTTTCCTCAATCCTTGAAGGGTAGAATTTTGTCTTTACCAACATGTAGGATATTTGTTGTGGGCTCTAGGCACAAACTTGACTAAGTCGAATGAGCACAGCCTCCAACAAGCCTGGATCAAATAATAGCTTTGCCACCTGAACCTTTGTGAGTTTGGGCAAGTTACTTCTCCTCTGTGGTCTTCCTCACTCAATGAGGAAAATAATGGTATTAAAATTAATGAAATAATAAACTGGAAATAAACAGTGAAATTGTGTGAGGTTCTGTGGGAACACATCTCACATGGTGGTAGTCTCCTTCTCCTCCTCCTCTTCACATTGGGATCCATCCCAGGGCCTGGCACATCTAGGCAATGGCTCTACCTCTGAGCTACCCCAGCCTGGGCGGTGGGTTTTAAAACAGGACATTGAGGGAAAACAGCACGTCATCAGAACTCTGCTGACGATCCCATCAAACCCCAGCTCAAGAGCCTGCTACACCATCATGGAGCCGCATGGTTAGGAAAGAAGAAAGAGATGGAGACAGGAAAGTTTCTCATGGAAATTTAAGCAACCGTCAGATGAAAGAGAACTACAAACCCACATTTCAGAATTTCTCCAAAGGAGTGAGAAAGGTAAGCTCTGGGTGGGCAGGCCCATGGCGAGCGTCCAAAGCAGCACAGAGAAGAAAGGCTATGACCCGGAATACTCACAACAGTAGAGAATACATGGAAATAAGTCAACGAATTTTCAACCAAAAAATTAGAAAAAATAGTGACAAAAACTCAATAGAGGGGCTGGGGTTGGGGCTCAGTGGCAGAGCACCCACCTAGCCCATGCAAGGCCCTGGGTTCGATCCTCAGCACCACATAAAAATAAATAAGTAAAATAAAGGTATCTTGTCCTACCACAACTAAAAAAATTAAAAATCAACAGAGGGAAGCACCCAGGAAAATTTTTAAATAATGATAAAATCAGAAAGATTTTGAGGTGGCTGAGGCCCAGGGAGCATACTCTGAAACTCCCTGCAAAATCCTCCCAGAACATAAAGACTAGTGTTTCAGTCGGCGTTCTTGCTGCTGTGACTAAAGGACCGGGACAGAACAACCGGAGGGAAGAAACGTTTATTTGGGGGCTCACGGTTTCAGAGGTCTCAGGCCATAGATGGCCGCTCCATTCCTCAGGCCTCAGGTGAGGCAGGACATGGTGGCCAGAGTGTGGCGGAGGGAAGCAGCTCATGGCGGTGAGGAAGCAGAGCCACACCCCAGGACCCACATCCTGTGGCCACACCCTACTGCCTCCAGTCACCACTCAGTCACTCCCACCAGGGAGTAAGTCACGGATTGGGCTAAGGCTATGGCCCGATCATTTCTCCTCCAAACCTTCTTGCCTTGTCTCACACGTGAGCTTTTGGGGGCACCTCACACCCAAACCGTAACAACTAGTGAGTAGGACAAGAAACACCTTCTCACACCAGAGTAACTAGAAGACAGCAAGCTTCCCAACTTCCAATTGTGTGTGAGCGGGAAAGCAACAGCGAGCCCCCAGCCCTCCCAGCCTCTGTGGACCACCAGGAGGATCTGCTCAGAGGAGGGAAGGGCAGAGCCGAGCCTGAGCAAGGTGCCCAAGACCCTCAGCTTAAAGGAGGGAGGGTCATCCCGACTCACGGTGTCAGTCGGTGCCCTGTTAACCTCTTGTCGGGGCTGCGGCAGCACATCATGGCCAGCGCACGTGGCAAAGGAAGACCACTCACCTCGGAGCCGCTGGAAAACAGGGAGGTGGGAGGGGCCCTGGGTCCCACGCCACCTTCAAGGGCACGCCCCCATGACCTGCCTCCTCCCACCAGGCCCCCCTCCTCCCAGTGGTGCCTTAGACTGGACACCGAGTCTTTACACGTGGGCCCTTGGGGCACGATTCGCATCTAAACCATAATAGAGCCCCAGTTTCACCTCCACCAGAAAGCCCATCCAGGCACCAAAATACCAGGAAATGTGCACCGTGGATGAGCACGATGCAGTGCCACAGAACCACGCTGGACACGCCGCGGGTACGTTGACAGGAGGGGCTGGGTGAGCTGCTCACCAGGCACCGAGGAACCCAGGGAAAAGCAGCCTAAGGGCCACCCCAAAGCTACCCGCACCCACCCCCCGGAAACAGGTGCTGCAAGAAGACTGCAGTCACGGAGTGTGCAGCCTCTGGGGCCCAGGAGGGGCGTCCTCGCCAGGGGACGGCCAACGTCACAAACCAGAGAAAATGAGCCGGTTTTTCCAGAGCTATGAAAACTGCAAACTGAAATCAACTCCCTGGTCAGGGGAATGGTCAGGCCCCAACCGACAGTGAAAACCAGCAAAGCAGGACAGGGAACAAGATGGCAGGTAGGGGACCTTCTCCCCACCAGCAGCCTCCTCCAGCGCCCCCTGCTGGCAGAGCTCCACAGGGAGCGGCTGGCAAAGCGGGTGTGGTTGGCAGAGCCCCCCAAGGCCACCGGGTGGGTGGGACAGGCCTTAGCAGATGGCCCAGCGGATGTCAGACCAGCCCTGCACCCGTGGTCAGTCCAAACATGGCCACTGGGTCTTGGTTATGAGGGAGGAAGACGGTGTACTCAGGGACGCCCACTGGCATCTGAGGTGATGTGCCAGGAGCCAGGAACACTCCCCCAGGGCTCAGCCAAAGAAAGGCAGAGAGGTAGACAGGTGGTGGGCGCTGACGTGTAGCGAACCTTGCACTTCTCTTGCAACCTTCCATGAGTTAGGAATTTTTTCAAAATTTAAAGGGAAGGCTGGGGGTGGCTCAGTGGTAGAGCACTGGCCTAGCATGCACGAGGCCCTGGGTTCCACCCCCTTCACACACACACACACACACACACACACACACGTGAGAAGCAGGACCTGGTCTCAGAGGATCACAAGCCAGAATACGCACCTGCTCACTTCTCTTGGGGCACCGGCTGCGGTCTCCTGGACGGCCTTAGAGGTAACGTTGCAAAGGGGACTTTCCCCTTTTGGACTATCGGCTGTCCTGAATTCACAAGCGATCATCGAGCATGAGGGTGCACATTGTCCCCTCCCTCCGCCGAGGTTTGCAGCAGCTTCCCAACGCAAGGGGGTCCCTGGGCCCAAGGGGCCCAAGAATGGGCACAGCCTTTACTATCCTCCTCCGCCCGCGCAGAACCCTCCTCCCAAGGCCGTGCTGCCTGGAGGAGCCAGGCTGGCCACTCGGCGCTCTGTAGAGGGACACATTTGTACTGTCAAGGACAAGAGCCACTGGCAGCCCGGCCCACAGCTGACCCCTCTGCATCATCAGGGAGAGAAGTGGTCTTTAAAAGGCCCCGTGGGGGTTGAGTCTCTGAGCCAGGACTGTTGGTGAGGTCACTGCTTGGCCGGGCTCCACCCGGAGATCGCGTGGTTTCCTCTGCTCTCCAGGCCTGCCTGGAAGGCTGCAGGGAGGGTCTGGGTTTCTCTTGCTGCCCACACCTGGGCAGGAGCCCAGCCAAGCAGAGAAGGGTCCCCAGGGAGACTCCTTCCCGACCAGCCCCATCCCAGCCCGACACCATGTGACTCCCAGGAGCTGGCTGACACAGAGCAGGAGACACCCACAGGCTCTGGGCGGCAGGAGCCCACAGCCAGCCAGGACAGCCCTGAGACCCAGTGTCCAAGCAGGCAAGGATTCGGAACGGTGAGCACAAGGACAGCACTGGTCAGGTGGGGGTTGGGGGCCCGCCCAGAAGCTTGGCATCTTTCTCCTGTCTGAGCTCTTCTGCTGGCCTAACGGGGGAAGGCACAGTGGCCAGCAGTGGCCTGACTGTCCAGAGAGCGTCTGTCCAGCCATACTTCACCCTCTGATTTGGGCTGAGCCGCCTGGCCTGTGGCCAGCTCGTGGCCACTTTCCCTGTGTCGCATGCTACTCTGTCAGTGCTGTGGGGGTTGGAGAGGCTGGGCCCCATTCCGTGGAGGGACAGGGAGACCAGCCGCACTGGACCCTGATCCTGGGAGGTGTTGTGGCCCCTCAATCTGTCCATGGCAGGAGCAGGGCCAGGCCGGGCAGGTCTGCAGAGGACAAAGACACAGGCTTGCCCCACCCACCCTCCTGGGTCCTGGTGTTCTGTCTCGTCCTCCTCACCCTGCATGACAATGCTCCTCTACTCCCTCAAGGAGTCTGAACCCCAGTTGTGGGGACCCCACCTACTGAGCCCCCTCCAGGGCCTCCAACTGGACCAGTGGCCCCACACAGAGCCCCTGCCGCAGGACCCAGCTGAGAAAGGCCCTGGCTGGCCTGGCTGAGCCTCGCCCTCCTGCCCCCACCCCCCTCTGCCCACCTCTCACCTCCCTGCTCCCCTCCCCTCCCCTTCCCCCTCCCCTTCCCCCTCTCCTTCTCTCTTCCCTTCCCTCTGATCTGTGGCTTCTGTTCCTGGCTCCCCCTGGGGACCCTGCGCTGTGACCCAGCTTTGTCCCGGGGCAGCGGGAGGCCCTCAGCAGTGGTCTTTGGGTGCAGGAGGTGATTGAAGAACAGTATGGAGAGGAGAGGTGGGTCAGGGCCCCGCCTGGAGGCCGGACACTGGAGAAGCCCGCCCACTCCTTTGGGGCCACAGCCTTGCTGGGGGTCCTGGAGGCAGCTTTGAGCATGGGGGACTGAAGACCTCCCACACTCATCTCTGCCTTTCCCCGGGCTTGGCCGCAGGGCCACACCCAGTCCTGTCTGAGACAGGCGTGCCCACAGCCCCCTCAGTGTCTCCTCCATGCTGGTGCTGACCAGGCCAGCCCGCTAGTCACCAGGCGGTCAGGCCTCACCTGCTGGTGTCCACCTGTCTCACCCTCATACACCTGCTCACGGCCCATCCAGCCTTCCAGGGACGAGGGCGCTAGGACAGAGTGCACAGCCAGGAGGAGGGTCCTTCTCCACCTGGGACTGGGCCCCACTCCCAGACAGCCCCACAGGCAGGACATCCAGACTGGCCAGGGAAGGCCCAGCTTCCCAGTGGCAGGAGCAGCCACCCTTTCCCAGGGCCTGTCACTTTACCCTAGTCAAACAGTGACCGCAGAAAACTGAGGGTCTGACAGGAAGAGGGGGTGACAGGCCCCGCAAGACAGCCAGTGCCACCATGCTCAGCATATGGCCCTCTGCAAGGCCAGTTTCAGCCCTGAGTCCTGGCCCACCCATCCTCCTGCACTGTGCATGGACACTCCATCCCTAAAGGGAGAGAGCAGGAGAGTCAAACAGTCTCGAGGTGGGAGCCTGCTCTGTGCACCCCCATCTCCCACATCTCCTCCCAGCCCCCCCAGGAGACCAGAGGACCAGTCACCACCAGGCAGAGGAGGCACAGGGAGATCATCCTCGGCCCCCTCTGGTCTCCAGAGAGAGGCAAGGCCCTGTCCCTTCTCTGTAACCTCACAGGGAGGAGCTGGAGGCACCCAGTGCTCAGGGCAGCTGCTGGGGATGGACCGCCCCAGGTGGCAAGATAGGAGCAGGTAGCCACGGCTGGTGGGGCGGCAGGTAGCTTCAGGTGGGCCTCCTGCTGAGCTCTGCGTGGTCCTGAGGTCTCCTGTCCAGCTGTTTCACTGGCATCCTGCTCCATCCCGCTCAGGGCCAGGTGGGCTGTTCCGGTCAGATCTGAGCCCTCACCCGTATTCGGGGCCTGCCCGGTGAGCCAGCTGCCCAGGCCTGCCACCAGCCTCAGCATCAGAGTAGCCTCTCTTCCCACTGAGGGGAGGGGACTGACAGGTGAGAAGCAAGGAGAGAGGGCCGCAGGGACATGGCAAGGGGGAGAGGGGGACTCCTGGGTCCCAGGCTTGCACATGGCCTGGCCAACGGGGGGGCAGGGGGAGCACTGTGGTGGCAGCCCCTCGTGGAAGGTCTCATAAGACCTGCTCTAAGATGACACACACTTGGCCACCGTGAGCCTCCCTCCGGGGTCCTGCACTCACTGGACCTAGGCCCTGCCTGTGGCCCTAAAACAAAACTTGTCTGGGGCCCTGTCCTCTCCCCACCCCCCCTGTGCCTGTAGGGCCCCCTGCCGATGGACGGCAGCAGCTGGACGAGGGCACCCTTAGCAGCCGCGGAGGCTGGGGCCTGGAGAGTGCTGGCCTGAGTGCCTCAGACAGGGAGGAGGGCGAGGTCAGGTGACAGGGAGAAATGGAAGGTGGGCACCTCCTTCAGCCGGGTCTCACCACCCCGATTGCCCACCCAGTCCCTAGCCAGTCCCTCCCCTCACTCCTGAACAGGAAACTCAGAGGACTCTGTGGTTTCAGGGAGCCAGGAGAGAGCAGAGCGGACGTCCCTGGCCTCCCGGCCTCCACCCATTCCACCCTTCCCTGGAGATGGAGTGGAAGGAAGGTGGCCAGCACGTAGCTGCCCCCGACCGCAGCCAGGAGGACCAGGCCTTCAACCTGGTCATTCTGGCCCTCACGGAGCTGCTCAGCCTGGGCGGGCTGCTGGGCAACGGGGTGGTCCTCTGGCTGCTCAGCCGCAACGTCTACAGGAGCCCCTTCTCCATCTACCTCCTGGACGTGGCCTGTGCCGACCTCGTCTTCCTCGGCTGCCACATGGTGGCCGTCGTCCCCGACCTGCTGCCCCGCCAGCTGACCTTCCCGGGCTTCGTCCAGACCAGTCTGGCCACACTGAGGTTCTTCTGCTACATCGTGGGCCTGAGCCTCTTGGCGGCCATCAGCATAGAGCAGTGCCTGGCCACCCTCTTCCCCGCCTGGTACCTGTGCCGCCGCCCGCGCCACCTGACCACCTGCGTGTGCGCGCTGGCCTGGGCGCTCTGCCTGCTGCTGGACCTGCTGCTCAGTGGGGCCTGCACCGAGTTCTTTGGGGAGCCCAGCGGCCACCTGTGCAGGACGCTGTGGCTGGTGGTGGCGGCCCTGCTGGGCGCCCTGTGCTGTGCCATGTGCCTGGCCAGCCTGCTCCTGCTGCTGCGGGTGGAGCGTGGCCCGCAGCGGCCCCAGCCCCGGGGCTTCCCCGCCCTGGTCCTGCTGGCCGTCCTCCTCTTCCTCTTCTGCGGCCTGCCCTTCGGCATCTACTGGCTGTCGCGGAACCTGCACTGGCACATCCCCCACTACTTCTACCACTTCAGCTTCCTCATGGCCGCCGTGCACAGCTCCACCAAGCCCGCCGCCTACTTCTGCCTGGGTAGCAGCCAGGGCCGCAGGCTGCGCGAGCCTCTCCGCCTGGTGCTCCAGAGGGCCCTGGGGGATGAGGCCGAGCTGGCGGCCGGGAGGGAGGCTTCTCAAAGGGGCCTTGTGGACATGACGGCCTAGGCCCTCGTCCCAACCTCAGCTCTGGCCTGGAAGCCAGGGAGCTGCCCACCAAGGGGACCTCCAAAGGAGGTCTCTGCTGATGACCTGCCTGTGAGGACCACCAGTGTCACCCTCACTCCCCGTGTGAGGCTCACTGGGGAGGCTGCTGGAGGGTCTCTGGGGAGGCAGCCTGGGAACTTGCACTTTGAGGACACCCCCCCAGGGCCGTTGTCCTGCCCAGGAACTCATGAGAGCCCCTGGGTTACACCCACGTTCCCCAGTGACAGCAAGAGGCAGGCAAGGAAGGGAACAGGCCAGTCCCCAGGTGGGGGCAGGCCAGCCGTCTCCCGCCAGCTCATCCTGCCTCCCCCGTCAGCCTCCCCACAGCCGAGGGCACACCCCGGATATGTGGGGATGGGACAGTGTGGCCCGCCTCAGCTCCCCAAGGCCCTCCCTCCAGTGTGTCTACAGTGTCCTGAGATTGGAAGCTGGCTCAGGCATGGGGAATGAGGCACTCAGGGGACCCTGGGTGGCTGGGCCACAGAAGAAAATGTCCGCCAGACCCCCACACCCTGGCCAGTGAGCGGAGGCTGCCCCCTCCCCCTGTGCCAGGAGCAGAGCTGGCCCCTGGTGCAGGGTGCTCGGGCCAGCAGCCCACTGAACCCCAGGGGAAGTTGGCTCGGACTACCCCCAGTGTCCACCTGGGTTCCTGCTGTGCTCTCCGGGCGTCGTCTGACCCAGCACCGCCCAGAGCTTGAAGCCCATCCAGGCAAAGCCCCAGCAGCTTCTGCGTCATCGGCTCATGTCCCCTCAGGAGCTTCAGCTGAAAATTTGTGACGTCCCGAGTGCCAGTGACCTCCCCATGAGGCTGCACGTGGGTGGAGAGCTTTGAGGCCTACCCTGCACAGCTGTGGCAGAGGAAGGCAGACAGGGGCTCAGAGGGGCTTCCAAGCCTGGGGTTGTCGGTGACCACTGGCCCCTCATGTATGACTGGGTCCTGGACCACGCAGACCTCTCCCCAAGCTTCAGGAAGGCTGTTTTGCAAAAGCTTCTTCTGCATCGTGAAAAGTGCCCTGAGTGGGCAGGAGGCCCTGGCAGTCCTGCCCACACCTGGAGCAGCCCCACAGGAAAGTCTGGACTTCAGCTCTTGGGCAGCCCCCCACCTACACCTCCTGGGCGGGCATGTCCCACTCAGGAGGGTCACTCTGAGGACACAGCCTGGGCTCTGCCCCTCAGCAGGCTACAGAGCTCCCAGGTACTGGGCCTGGGGCTCAGAGATGACCCAGAGCTGATCCCCGAGTGTCTCATTTCCCGGTGCCCGAGCCAGCTTCCAACCCCAGGGGTCAAGGGCAGGGGCTTTGGAGCCCTCCAGCCTGGGCCGAGCCAGTTCCCACCACCCCGTCTCCATGGGTGGGTTGCTCAGCCTCCCCCCGCCCCTCTGGGTCATCTTTAAAGCACTAGAGCCAAGCGAGTCCACCGTGTGAGAGGCTGTGAAGTGTGTCTGGAGCCTCACGAGCCCACGGAACTTCACCACGTCACTGACCCTCCGGGCCCAAGTCCACCGCACGTCTTGACCTGGGTGTCCGAGAGATCTTTACAGCTGTCAGGACCTCCTTCTGACCTGGAGTGGCTGGGCCGTGGCCAGCGTGATGTTCAGGCTTGGCCAAGAGCTTGTCTTCTGAGGTGGGGTGAGAGTCTCAGACCCCTACCCAGCGTCCTGGGACCCCTACCCAGCGTCCTGAGACCCCTACCCAGCGTCCTGGGACCCCTACCCAGCGTCCTGGGATCCCTACCCAGCGTCCTGGGACCCCTACCCAGCATCCTGGGACCCCTACCCAGCGTCCTGGGACCCCTACCCAGCGTCCTGGGATCCCTACCCAGCATCCTGGGACCCCCACCCAGCATCCTGGGACCCCTACCCAGCGTCCTGGGACCCCACCCAGCGTCCTGGGACCCCTACCCAGCGTCCTGGGACCCCTACCCAGCGTCCTGAGACCCCTACCCAGCGTCCTGGGACCCCTACCCAGCGTCCTGAGACTCCTACCCAGCGTCCTGGGACCCCTAGCCAGCGTCCTGGGATCCCTACCCAGCATCCTGGGACCCCTACCCAGCGTCCTGGGATCCCTACCCAGCGTCCTGAGACCCCTACCCAGCATCCTGGGGCCAGGCCTCCCACCTTCACCCCAGGGCCTTCACCCAGGCTCCTGTGCACCCTGGTAGGTGTGGGCCCAGGGGTCCTCCTGAGGTAGCTTGGGGCCAGTGTGGCCCTCCGTGGCCCGGTTCAGTCTCTGTGGGGGAGATGAGAGCAGGAAAGGAGGCCCCTGTCCACAAATCCATGGAGGAAGACCTACGGGGGGGGGGCGCCACCAGCCCACGGGTGCCCTATGCCTGGACGTTAGCCCAGAACCCTGCAGTGGTGGGGAGGGCACTTACACGTGAGAACACTGAGGCTCGGGGATCTGAGACCACCCCAGGCCACCAGACATGTCTCCCTGGATCCCTCCACACACCCTGCTGGTTCAGGACTGGCTCAGGAGCCCTGAACACACCCTGGACCCCATCCCCTTTTCCCCATATAGGGGAGAGATAGGTCATGGACCCTCGGGACATGCCCTCCTGCCTGAGAGCCCCTGCCCGAGAGCCCACCCTTGGTCCAGGGGAGTTAGGTGCAGCTCTCAGTCCTCCTAGCTGACTCAGGGAGCACAGGTGTGGCAGCAGGTATGCACCCTCAGCCAGACTGTCTGCCCAGCCCCATGCTCTGGGGAGAGAGCCAGGGGTACTGGGGCAGGTGATGGTCCTCCTAGCCTTCATGGGAGCTTCCAGGGCCCACGGGCAAGGCAGCTTCCATCAGGCCACCTGGCCACCTGGCCACACCTCTCACCTCACCTGGCTGCTCCTCCCCTTCTGCCCCAGAGCCACGAGGGCCCACCATGCACCCCAGCCCTCACCCTGCATGACCCTGAGGTCCACTCCCCAAGGTGGCCCCTCCCCAAGGCTCAGACAAAGCCAGACCAGGAGGAGGCTCAGGGTCCTAGGAGGACATGGCCTGAGGGCCAGGCCAGCGTCCACCAGGACCCACCCACTGTGCCTAGGGCAGGACAGACTTCCCGGGAACAGGGTGTCTGCAGGGGCGGCCAACATCCCAGGGAGCCCCTGTCACCACAGCCCCTCCCCAGGCCTGCAGGGAGCGCTGACGGGCTCCAGGCCCAGGACTCGGGGCAGGGCCCAGGAAGACGCCCCCTGCCCACCTCCCCCCTGCGCTCAGTTGCAAGCTTGAGGTGGTCCTGGCGCTGGGTCCTGGGTAGCTGGGAGGACCCGCTCACTCCTCCCTGTGCCCAGTCAGCAGCTGAGCCACCGGGAGAAGCCTCAGCCTGTGGGGCCGTGGGCGAGGGCCAGCTCTGTGACCTGCCTTGAGCTGCTCCTCCTCTCAGCCCAGGTGTGGGGGTCTCTGACCCGGGCCCCTCCACCTGCCCCGGAGCGACCCGCTCCAGAGGCTGCGCTTGCCCCCAGGGCCTTCCCACGCGCCCGTCCTGCCTCCTGCCACCCCAGGCGTGGTCACTGAAGGGCACAGCTCGGCTGCTTTAATCAGAGTGTTTTTCTTTTAAGCAAGTGGCTTCCGCAGGTGGCAGAAGCCATAACGCTCTGCCTGTGATCTGCTGTGGGTAATGGGTCACACACGTGACCTGGGCGATGTCACAGGACCTCATAGAAACCCGGGGGAAACTGAGGCTTCCAGAGACCAAGAAGGCTGACCCCAAGCTGCAGCCTACGGGGCCAGGGGGCAGCCCCTCCTTCCCTGCCAGGCAAGACCCCACCCAGGAAAGGGTCAGGAGGTAGAGAGTCATGGCCTCAGGCCCACGCTCTCCTTAACAGCACACCTTGGCCCCTGTGTTCCCAGTCTGTTCTGTGTGCCTGCTGCCTGAGCATCTAGGGCCTCACTGACCCTCAGGCAGCTAATTCCTAGGGATGGTAAAGCACTACTCCGCCATTCAGTGCAGAGCCCACGCCCACCCTGGGTTCCCCTAAACTGTGACCACCCCTCCAGGGTGGTGCTGGACAACCAGGCAGCCCCTGGGCTCCAGGGTCCTGAAATCCCTCACACTGGCCAATCCTAGGCCTGCTTGCTGTCCTTGTCCACTGTCGTGAGTGAGCTATGTCATTAAAATAGACCAAACACGTCTGTATCTTTCTGCAATGTCGGCATTCACTGAGCAACAATAAATTCACAGGCTGCCCACTTTCCTTTGTGGCAATTCACTGAATACCCCTAGGTTACCTGGTAGTCATGAGCACGACAATCACAGATTCTTTTATTCCACTCTTAATTTCTAATATCCAAAGACAACAGTCACACACACGTCACAGAGTGATACATAAGAAGTAGGTCATGGGCTGGGGATGTGGCTCAAGTGGTAGTGCGCTTGCCTGGCATGCATGCGGCGCTGGGTTCGATCCTCAGCATCACATACAAATAAAAGGATGTTGTGCCGCTGAAAACTAAAAAACAATAAAATATTTAAAAATTCTCTCTCTCTCTCTCTCTCTCTCTCTCTCTCTCTCTCTCTTTAAAAAAAAAAGAAGTAGGTCATGGGAAACTGAGAAAGGGTTAGAGGAGCTTCAGATTGGTGGGTAATGTGTCACATGTGACCTGGGCTATATCACAGGTCATGACAAACTGCTCGTCTCTACACCATGGAGTCACTAGGGCAGGCACAGCCTGAGGACTGCTGTTCCACACACCATGGAGTCACCAGGGCAGGCACAGCCTGAGGACTGCTGTTCTACACACCATGGAGTCACTCAGGGCAGGCACAGCCTAAGGACTGCTGTTCTACACACCATGGAGTCACCAGGGCAGGCGCAGCCTGAGGACTGCTGTCGTACACACCATGGAGTCACTAGGGCAGGCACAGCCTGAGGACTGCTGTTCTACACACCATGGAATCACCAGGGCAGGCGCAGCCTGAGGACTGCTGTTCTACACACCATGGAGTCACTAGGGCAGGCACAGCCTGAGGACTGCTGTTCTACACACCATGGAATCACCAGGGCAGGCACAGCCTGAGGACTGCTGTTCTACACACCATGGAGTCACTAGGGCAGGCACAGCCTGAGGACTGCTGTCCTACACACTATGGAGTCACTAGGGCAGGCACAGCCTGAGGACTGCTGTCCTGCACACCATGGAGTCACTAGGGCAGGCGCAGCCTGAGGACTGCTGTTCTGCACACCATGGAGTCACTCAGGGCAGGCACAGCCTAAGGACTGCTGTTCCACACACCATGGAGTCACTAGGGCAGGCACAGCCTGAGGACTGCTGTTCTGCACACCATGGAGTCACCAGGGCAGGCACAGCCTGAGAGCGGCTATCCTACACACCATGGAGTCACCAGGGCAGGCACAGCCTGAGGACTGCTGTCCTACACACCATGGAGTCACTCAGGGCAGGCACACCTGAGAGCTGCTGTTCTACACACCATGGAGTCACTAGGGCAGGCACAGCCTGAGGACTGCTGTCCTACACACCATGGAGTCACTCAGGGCAGGCACAGCCTGAGGACTGCTGTCCTACACACCATGGAGTCACCAGGGCAGGCACAGCCTGAGGACTGCTGTTCCACACACCATGGAGTCACCAGGGCAGGCACAGCCTGAGGACTGCTGTCCTACACACCATGGAGTCACCAGGGCAGGCACAGCCTGAGGACTGCTGTTCTACACACCATGGAGTCACCAGGGCAGGCACAGCCTGAGGACTGCTGTTCTGCACACCATGGAGTCACCAGGGCAGGCACAGCCTGAGGACTGCTGTTCTACACACCATGGAGTCACTAGGGCAGGTGCAGCCTGAGGACTGCTGTTCCACACACCATGGAGTCACTCAGGGCAGGCACAGCCTGAGGACTGCTGTTCTACACACCATGGAGTCACCAGGGCAGGCGCAGCCTGAGGACTGCTGTTCCACACACCATGGAGTCACCAGGGCAGGCGCAGCCTGAGGACTGCTGTTCCACACACCATGGAGTCACCAGGGCAGGCGCAGCCTGAGGACTGCTGTTCCACACACCATGGAGTCACCAGGGCAGGCGCAGCCTGAGGACTGCTGTTCCACACACCATGGAGTCACCAGGGCAGGCGCAGCCTGAGGACTGCTGTTCTACACACCATGGAGTCACTAGGGCAGGCGCAGCCTGAGGACTGCTGTTCTGCACACCATGGAGTCACTAGGGCAGGCACAGCCTGAGGACTGCTGTCCTACACACCATGGAGTCACTAGGGCAGGCGCAGCCTGAGGACTGCTGTCCTACACACCATGGAGTCACTAGGGCAGGCACAGCCTGAGGACTGCTGTTCCACACACCATGGAGTCACCAGGGCAGGCGCAGCCTGAGGACTGCTGTTCCACACACCATGGAGTCACTAGGGCAGGCGCAGCCTGAGGACTGCTGTTCCACACACCATGGAGTCACTAGGGCAGGCACAGCCTGAGGACTGCTGTCCTACACACCATGGAGTCACTAGGGCAGGCACAGCCTGAGGACTGCTGTCCTACACACCATGGAGTCACCAGGGCAGGCACAGCCTGAGGACTGCTGTTCCACACACCATGGAGTCACCAGGGCAGGCACAGCCTGAGGACTGCTGTTCTACACACCATGGAGTCACTAGGGCAGGCACAGCCTGAGGACTGCTGTCCTGCACACCATGGAGTCACTAGGGCAGGCGCAGCCTGAGGACTGCTGTTCCACACACCATGGAGTCACTAGGGCAGGCACAGCCTGAGGACTGCTGTTCTACACACCATGGAGTCACTCAGGGCAGGCACAGCCTGAGGACTGCTGTTCTACACACCATGGAGTCACCAGGGCAGGCGCAGCCTGAGGACTGCTGTTCCACACACCATGGAGTCACCAGGGCAGGCGCAGCCTGAGGACTGCTGTTCCACACACCATGGAGTCACCAGGGCAGGCGCAGCCTGAGGACTGCTGTTCCACACACCATGGAGTCACTAGGGCAGGCACAGCCTGAGGACTGCTGTCCTACACACCATGGAGTCACTAGGGCAGGCACAGCCTGAGGACTGCTGTTCTACACACCATGGAGTCACTAGGGCAGGCACAGCCTGAGGACTGCTGTTCTACACACCATGGAGTCACTAGGGCAGGCACAGCCTGAGGACTGCTGTCCTGCACACCATGGAGTCACCAGGGCAGGCACAGCCTGAGGACTGCTGTTCTGCACACCATGGAGTCACTAGGGCAGGCACAGCCTGAGGACTGCTGTTCCACACACCATGGAGTCACCAGGGCAGGCACAGCCTGAGGACTGCTGTTCTACACACCATGGAGTCACCAGGGCAGGCACAGCCTGAGGACTGCTGTCCTACACACCATGGAGTCACTAGGGCAGGCACAGCCTGAGGACTGCTGTCCTACACACCATGGAGTCACTAGGGCAGGCACAGCCTGAGGACTGCTGTTCCACACACCATGGAGTCACCAGGGCAGGCGCAGCCTGAGGACTGCTGTTCCACACACCATGGAGTCACCAGGGCAGGCGCAGCCTGAGGACTGCTGTTCCACACACCATGGAGTCACCAGGGCAGGCGCAGCCTGAGGACTGCTGTTCTACACACCATGGAGTCACTAGGGCAGGCACAGCCTGAGGACTGCTGTCCTACACACCATGGAGTCACTCAGGGCAGGCACAGCCTGAGGACTGCTGTTCTACACACCATGGAGTCACCAGGGCAGGCACAGCCTGAGGACTGCTGTTCTACACACCATGGAGTCACTAGGGCAGGCACAGCCTGAGGACTGCTGTTCTGCACACCATGGAGTCACCAGGGCAGGCACAGCCTGAGGACTGCTGTTCTACACACCATGGAGTCACTCAGGGCAGGCACAGCCTGAGGACTGCTGTTCTGCACACCATGGAGTCACCAGGGCAGGCACAGCCTGAGGACTGCTGTTCTACACACCATGGAGTCACTAGGGCAGGCGCAGCCTGAGGACTGCTGTCCTACACACCATGGAGTCACCAGGGCAGGCGCAGCCTGAGGACTGCTGTTCTGCACACCATGGAGTCACTCAGGGCAGGCACAGCCTGAGGACTGCTGTCCTACACACCATGGAGTCACCAGGGCAGGCACAGCCTGAGGACTGCTGTTCTACACACCATGGAGTCACTAGGGCAGGCACAGCCTGAGGACTGCTGTTCCACACACCATGGAGTCACCAGGGCAGGCACAGCCTGAGGACTGCTGTCCTGCACACCATGGAGTCACTAGGGCAGGCACAGCCTGAGGACTGCTGTTCTACACACCATGGAGTCACCAGGGCAGGCACAGCCTGAGGACTGCTGTCCTACACACCATGGAGTCACCAGGGCAGGCGCAGCCTGAGGACTGCTGTTCCACACACCATGGAGTCACCAGGGCAGGCGCAGCCTGAGGACTGCTGTTCCACACACCATGGAGTCACCAGGGCAGGCGCAGCCTGAGGACTGCTGTTCTACACACCATGGAGTCACTAGGGCAGGCGCAGCCTGAGGACTGCTGTCCTACACACCATGGAGTCACTAGGGCAGGCTCAGCCTGAGGACTGCTGTTCTACACACCATGGAGTCACTAGGACAGGCACAGCCTGAGGACTGCTGTTCTGCACACCATGGAGTCACCAGGGCAGGCGCAGCCTGAGGACTGCTGTTCCACACACCATGGAGTCACCAGGGCAGGCACAGCCTGAGGACTGCTGTCCTACACACCATGGAGTCACCAGGGCAGGCACAGCCTGAGGACTGCTGTTCTACACACCATGGAGTCACTAGGGCAGGCGCAGCCTGAGGACTGCTGTCCTACACACCATGGAGTCACTAGGGCAGGCACAGCCTGAGGACTGCTGTTCTACACACCATGGAGTCACTAGGGCAGGCACAGCCTGAGGACTGCTGTTCTACACACCATGGAGTCACTAGGGCAGGCACAGCCTGAGGACTGCTGTTCTGCACACCATGGAGTCACCAGGGCAGGCACAGCCTGAGGACTGCTGTTCTACACACCATGGAGTCACTAGGGCAGGCACAGCCTGAGGAGTGCTGTCCTGCACACCATGGAGTCACCAGGGCAGGCACAGCCTGAGGACTGCTGTTCTACACACCATGGAGTCACCAGGGCAGGAGCAGCCTGAGGACTGCTGTTCTACACACCATGGAGTCACTAGGGCAGGCGCAGCCTGAGGACTGCTGTTCTACACACCATGGAGTCACCAGGGCAGGCGCAGCCTGAGGACTGCTGTTCTACACACCATGGAGTCACTCAGGGCAGGCACAGCCTGAGGACTGCTGTCCTACACACCATGGAGTCACTAGGGCAGGCGCAGCCTGAGGACTGCTGTCCTACACACCATGGAGTCACCAGGGCAGGCGCAGCCTGAGGACTGCTGTTCTGCACACCATGGAGTCACTCAGGGCAGGCACAGCCTAAGGACTGCTGTCCTACACACCATGGAGTCACCAGGGCAGGCACAGCCTGAGGACTGTTGTTCTACACACCATGGAGTCACTAGGGCAGGCACAGCCTGAGGACTGCTGTTCTACACACCATGGAGTCACTAGGGCAGGCACAGCCTGAGGACTGCTGTTCTGCACACCATGGAGTCACTAGGGCAGGCACAGCCTGAGGACTGCTGTTCTACACACCATGGAGTCACTAGGGCAGGCACAGCCTGAGGACTGCTGTCCTACACACCATGGAGTCACCAGGGCAGGCACAGCCTGAGGACTGCTGTTCTACACACCATGGAGTCACCAGGGCAGGCGCAGCCTGAGGACTGCTGTTCTGCACACCATGGAGTCACTCAGGGCAGGCACAGCCTGAGGACTGCTGTTCCGCACACCATGGAGTCACTAGGGCAGGCACAGCCTGAGGACTGCTGTCCTACACACCATGGAGTCACCAGGGCAGGCACAGCCTGAGGACTGCTGTTCTACACACCATGGAGTCACTAGGGCAGGCACAGCCTGAGGACTGCTGTTCCACACACCATGGAGTCACTAGGGCAGGCACAGCCTGAGGACTGCTGTTCTACACACCATGGAGTCACTAGGGCAGGCACAGCCTGAGGACTGCTGTTCTGCACACCATGGAGTCACCAGGGCAGGCACAGCCTGAGGACTGCTGTCCTACACACCATGGAGTCACCAGGGCAGGCGCAGCCTGAGGACTGCTGTTCCACACACCATGGAGTCACTAGGGCAGGCACAGCCTGAGGACTGCTGTTCTACACACCATGGAGTCACTAGGGCAGGCACAGCCTGAGGACTGCTGTTCTACACACCATGGAGTCACCAGGGCAGGCACAGCCTGAGGACTGCTGTTCTGCACACCATGGAGTCACCAGGGCAGGCACAGCCTGAGGACTGCTGTTCTACACACCATGGAGTCACTAGGGCAGGCACAGCCTGAGGACTGCTGTTCTACACACCATGGAGTCACTCAGGGCAGGCACAGCCTGAGGACTGCTGTCCTACACACCATGGAGTCACCAGGGCAGGCGCAGCCTGAGGACTGCTGTTCTACACACCATGGAGTCACTCAGGGCAGGCACAGCCTGAGGACTGCTGTTCCACACACCATGGAGTCACCAGGGCAGGCGCAGCCTGAGGACTGCTGTTCTACACACCATGGAGTCACTAGGGCAGGCACAGCCTGAGGACTGCTGTTCCACACACCATGGAGTCACCAGGGCAGGCACAGCCTGAGGACTGCTGTTCTGCACACCATGGAGTCACTCAGGGCAGGCACAGCCTGAGGACTGCTGTTCCACACACCATGGAGTCACCAGGGCAGGCACAGCCTGAGGACTGCTGTTCTACACACCATGGAGTCACTCAGGGCAGGCACAGCCTGAGGACTGCTGTTCCACACACCATGGAGTCACCAGGGCAGGCACAGCCTGAGGACTGCTGTTCTACACACCATGGAGTCACTCAGGGCAGGCACAGCCTGAGGACTGCTGTTCTACACACCATGGAGTCACTAGGGCAGGCGCAGCCTGAGGACTGCTGTTCTACACACCATGGAGTCACTAGGGCAGGCACAGCCTGAGGACTGCTGTTCCACACACCATGGAGTCACCAGGGCAGGCACAGCCTGAGGACTGCTGTTCTACACACCATGGAGTCACTAGGGCAGGCACAGCCTGAGGACTGCTGTTCTGCACACCATGGAGTCACCAGGGCAGGCACAGCCTGAGGACTGCTGTTCTACACACCATGGAGTCACTAGGGCAGGCGCAGCCTGAGGACTGCTGTTCCACACACCATGGAGTCACTAGGGCAGGCGCAGCCTGAGGACTGCTGTTCTACACACCATGGAGTCACTAGGGCAGGCACAGCCTGAGGACTGCTGTTCTACACACCATGGAGTCACTAGGGCAGGCACAGCCTGAGGACTGCTGTTCTACACACCATGGAGTCACTAGGGCAGGCACAGCCTGAGGACTGCTGTTCTACACACCATGGAGTCACCAGGGCAGGCACAGCCTGAGGACTGCTGTTCCACACACCATGGAGTCACCAGGGCAGGCACAGCCTGAGGACTGCTGTTCTACACACCATGGAGTCACTAGGGCAGGCACAGCCTGAGGACTGCTGTTCTACACACCATGGAGTCACCAGGGCAGGCACAGCCTGAGGACTGCTGTTCTGCACACCATGGAGTCACCAGGGCAGGCGCAGCCTGAGGACTGCTGTTCCACACACCATGGAGTCACTAGGGCAGGCACAGCCTGAGGACTGCTGTTCTGCACACCATGGAGTCACCAGGGCAGGCACAGCCTGAGGACTGCTGTTCTGCACACCATGGAGTCACTAGGGCAGGCACAGCCTGAGGACTGCTGTTCTACACACCATGGAGTCACTAGGGCAGGCACAGCCTGAGGACTGCTGTTCTGCACACCATGGAGTCACCAGGGCAGGCGCAGCCTGAGGACTGCTGTTCTACACACCATGGAGTCACTCAGGGCAGGCACAGCCTGAGGACTGCTGTTCTACACACCATGGAGTCACCAGGGCAGGCACAGCCTGAGGACTGCTGTTCTACACACCATGGAGTCACCAGGGCAGGCGCAGCCTGAGGACTGCTGTTCCACACACCATGGAGTCACCAGGGCAGGCACAGCCTGAGGACTGCTGTCCTACACACCATGGAGTCACCAGGGCAGGCACAGCCTGAGGACTGCTGTTCTACACACCATGGAGTCACTAGGGCAGGCGCAGCCTGAGGACTGCTGTTCTACACACCATGGAGTCACTAGGGCAGGCACAGCCTGAGGACTGCTGTTCTGCACACCATGGAGTCACTAGGGCAGGCACAGCCTGAGGACTGCTGTTCTACACACCATGGAGTCACTAGGGCAGGCACAGCCTGAGGACTGCTGTTCTACACACCATGGAGTCACCAGGGCAGGCACAGCCTGAGGACTGCTGTTCTACACACCATGGAGTCACTAGGGCAGGCGCAGCCTGAGGACTGCTGTTCTACACACCATGGAGTCACTCAGGGCAGGCACAGCCTGAGGACTGCTGTTCTACACACCATGGAGTCACCAGGGCAGGCACAGCCTGAGGACTGCTGTTCTGCACACCATGGAGTCACTCAGGGCAGGCACAGCCTGAGGACTGCTGTTCCACACACCATGGAGTCACCAGGGCAGGCACAGCCTGAGGACTGCTGTCCTACACACCATGGAGTCACCAGGGCAGGCACAGCCTGAGGACTGCTGTTCTACACACCATGGAGTCACTAGGGCAGGCGCAGCCTGAGGACTGCTGTTCTACACACCATGGAGTCACTAGGGCAGGCACAGCCTGAGGACTGCTGTTCTACACACCATGGAGTCACTAGGGCAGGCACAGCCTGAGGACTGCTGTTCTACACACCATGGAGTCACTAGGGCAGGCACAGCCTGAGGACTGCTGTTCTACACACCATGGAGTCACTAGGGCAGGCACAGCCTGAGGACTGCTGTTCTGCACACCATGGAGTCACCAGGGCAGGCACAGCCTGAGGACTGCTGTTCCACACACCATGGAGTCACCAGGGCAGGCGCAGCCTGAGGACTGCTGTCCTACACACCATGGAGTCACTCAGGGCAGGCACAGCCTGAGGACTGCTGTTCTACACACCATGGAGTCACTAGGGCAGGCACAGCCTGAGGACTGCTGTTCTACACACCATGGAGTCACTCAGGGCAGGCACAGCCTGAGGACTGCTGTCCTACACACCATGGAGTCACTCAGGGCAGACACAGCCTGAGGACTGCTGTTCTACACACCATGGAGTCACTAGGGCAGGCACAGCCTGAGGACTGCTGTTCTACACACCATGGAGTCACTCAGGGCAGGCACAGCCTGAGGACTGCTGTCCTACACACCATGGAGTCACTCAGGGCAGACACAGCCTGAGGACTGCTGTTCTACACACCATGGAGTCACTAGGGCAGGCACAGCCTGAGGACTGCTGTTCTACACACCATGGAGTCACTAGGGCAGGCACAGCCTGAGGACTGCTGTTCTGCACACCATGGAGTCACCAGGGCAGGCACAGCCTGAGGACTGCTGTCCTACACACCATGGAGTCACCAGGGCAGGCACAGCCTGAGGACTGCTGTTCTACACACCATGGAGTCACTAGGGCAGGCACAGCCTAAGGACTGCTGTTCCACACACCATGGAGTCACTAGGGCAGGCACAGCCTGAGGACTGCTGTCCTACACACCATGGAGTCACTAGGGCAGGCACAGCCTGAGGACTGCTGTTCTGCACACCATGGAGTCACCAGGGCAGGCACAGCCTGAGGACTGCTGTCCTACACACCATGGAGTCACTAGGGCAGGCACAGCCTGAGGACTGCTATTCCACACACCATGGAGTCACTAGGGCAGGCACAGCCTGAGGACTGCTGTTCTGCACACCATGGAGTCACTAGGGCAGGCGCAGCCTGAGGACTGCTGTTCTACACACCATGGAGTCACCAGGGCAGGCGCAGCCTGAGGACTGCTGTCCTACACACCATGGAGTCACTAGGGCAGGCGCAGCCTGAGAGCGGCTATCCTACGCACTATGGAGTCACTCAGGCCAGGCGCAACCTGAAAGCAGCTGTCCTGCACACCAGGGACAAATCCATGTGAGAAATATGAGGGCCGATAGCCCCTTTCCATCTGATTCCTCGTGTTGAGCACCGGGCTGTGTGTCCCAGTCAGCAATCATAGAGCACAGTCCACGAGAATGTCTGAGAGGAACATTTCCCACTAAGTGGTTCTGCAGGCAGAGTTTGGACAAGCATCAGTTGGTGTCCAGTAGCTCTAGATGGCCAGGGCAGGTGGACAGACAGTGGAGGGCTCCTCAGGAAGGGGTGTGGAAGGAAGTCCTGGGCCAGCACCTGCTCTACCCAGGAACTGAGCTGTGAACTGTCAGTCCCATGGGAGGTGGTGGACTGAGGCCCAGGGAGGATGGGTCATTCCCTCAAAGCCACAGATCCACAAAGGTGAGACCAGGAGCCACGTCCAGGCCTCAGCCCACAGAGCCTGGGTCACGTGGGCCATTGCAGCAACCTGGAGATGACAGGGGCCGTCCACCAAGCAGAGCAGCCAGGAGGTGTGGCCAGCCCTTGCTGGACACAGAGTGTCCCAGGCTTCTCCTTCTCCGACACACCCCAGACGCAGCGAGGGCCAGGGCCACGGCCACTTGTGGGGAAGTGACCGCAGCCCTGTTGTCTCTAACTCCAGGGTTGTCCAAGTCCATTTTTCCTGAAGAGTCTCCCAGGAAACCTGTGTAAACAAAGGCACCAGAGTTGACTGTGGCACCTCAAAGCCAGGCCCTGCTCCAGGGACGCACCCAACACTTCCATATCACCTCAAGGTAAGCCAGGTGCATTTCAGCCAAGATGGTCACTTCTGTCCTTGCCCATAAGTGTGCCCCTCTTTCTGACCAAATTGTGGGGATCCAGCTGGTCCTTCTGCCCCCAGGGCTACCTTCCGCCAGCCAGCCCCCAGGAGGTCGCCCTCTGCAGAGTCTCCGATTGGCACCTGTCTTCCATCTCTTGGCGTCTTGGGGCCTGTCCTCACTCACAAGGACTGGGCAGTTCCAGAGTACAGCTGAGCCAGCCAGGAGGCAGAGGGAGTGGCCAGAGGGGCTGCGGGGAAGCCCCAGGGTGGCCACCTAACTGAGCCTGGGACTCCCTGAAACAGCCGATCACCGAATGCCATCTATTGCACTGTGGGAGGAAGGGCGTCTCACGCTGCAGAGCCCTGTGGGCAGCTCCACTAGCCACTGATGTCCATCGGGTAAAGGAATTGGAAGAGTCACAACTTGAAAGAGACTCGTGTCTCTCTACTACCTCTCTGTCCACCTCAGCACACCTCCACAGCCAGAACCTCAGCTTGCAGCCCTGAGGCTGGGGGGCAAGGGCTGGGAAGGAGGCCCGTAGAGCTGTCCCCTCGTGCTCAGACTGCGATGCAGAGATGGGGTCCTGGGGAAGGGTAGTGAGGACACCCGCATCAGAAAGACGAGGACAGGGACCTCAACTGTGAGCCCTGCCTTTTTGTTCCAGCATTAACTGTGGGGAGGCAGGAGGGGCCTGAGGTTCAGGGACGGTCACTGCTCAGGGTTGTGATGCTGTGGAGTTGCTAGATCCTACAGGAGCACGTGACAACTGGCCTGTGAATGTGGCTGCCTGGATGAAGGGCCTACGGGCATTTCTCTGGACAGAAATAAAGCAGGAAAAATAAGCAATTGTCACCTCTCGTCCAGCACTTGTACGTGAGGCCCAGGGAAGCTCCCCCTGTAGACTGGATCCCAGTGGACATGACAGAGGCAGGGCCAGGCCGGGGGATCGCCAGGACGGGTGCCCGTGGAGAAGCCTGGAGGAAGCCCCGGGTGCGCGGCAGGAGGGCTCATGTGGCCAGCCCTTTCCTCCCTGGGTCCCGGGGTCCCGACTTGGCCATCTTAAACCTGGGAAGAAAAGCAAATGGTCACACGTGCCCCTGAGGGTGCTTCCCCCACTTCTCGGCCAATGGTGGATGGGATGTCCCTGATGGGGGAGCCACTGCTGCTCTGGTGGGGACAGGGCGCCACTTGTTCTAAAGCCTCTCAGAAAAGAAAGGCAGGCAGAGGGGAAAGGAAAAGAAATGGGACGAGGTGCAGGCGAGAAGGGGCCGTGGCCTGAGCTGCCCACAGGGAACAGGCACCAACGCCCTGGGACAGTCGCGTCACCAGGGGAAGGAACTTGACCCAACAGCAGCCCAGCTCCCGCCTTCCGTGAGGGAGGGCAGGGGCATCCAGGCTCTGCACTGCCAGCTACTCAGGATGGCTCCTCACTCCCCGTGGCTAGGGTGGGGCCGAGGCCCACCCAGAGCGAGGGCCCCCAAGAGTGACCAGAGGACTCAGGTGGAAACACTGTTTGCAGGTCATCTAAGAGGGGGAGACCAGAACAGCACTGAGGGTACAGGTCCTTGGCAACCCGGAATGTTCCCCAGGGCCCTGGCGGTCACTGACAGATGTGGGGCCAGGCCCTCAGTGTCCATTGGTGCACTTGGGAACGCGGAGGGCGCCCCAGCTCCTCATTTGGTGCTC